ACTACTACGACTACTACTATTTCTACTGCTACCACTGCTACTACTACGACTACTACTACTACTACTACTACTACTACTACTACGACTGATACTACTAATACTACCACTACCACTACTACCACCACTACTGCGACCACTACTACTACTGCTCGTGCTACCACTACCTACTACTAGTATTACTACGACGACGACTACTACTACGACTACTACTACTACTACTACCACCACTACCACTACTACTACTACTACTACTACTACTACCACCACTACTTTTACCACTACTACTACTACTGCTACTACTACTACTACTACTACTACTGCTACTACTACTACTACTACTACTTTTACCATTCCTACTTTTACTATTACTACTACTGCTGCTACTACTACTACTACTACTACTATTAGTACTACTAGTAGTACTAGTACTACTTCTACTATTACTACTACTCCTCCCACTACTACTACTACTATCGTTACTACTATTACTACTACTACTACTACTACTACTACTACGACTACTACTACTACTACTACTACTGCTACTGCTTTTACAGCTACTTCTACTACTACTACTACTACTACGACTACTACCCCCACTGCTACTTGTTTGGTTTTCACTCCTACTACTGCTACTACTACTACTACTACTACAACTACTACTACTACTACTACTACGACTACGACTACTACTACTACTACTACTACTACAATTACAACTACAACTACAACTACAACTACAACTACAACTACTACGACGACGACGGCTACTACTGCTACTACTACTACTACTACTACTACTACTACTACTATTATTACTACTACTACTACTACTGCGACTACTACTACTACTACTACTACTACTACTACTACTACTACTACTACGACTACCACTACTGCTGCTACTACTACGACTAGTGCTACTACGTCTACTACTACTGCTGCTACTACGACTACTGCTGCTGCTGCTGCTGCTACTACTACTACTACTACTCCTACTACTACTACTACTACTACTACTACTACTACTACTACTTCTACTACTACTACTACTACTACTACTACTACTACTACTTCGACTACTGCTACTGGTGCTGCCACTGCTGGTGCTTGCGCATTGCCGCCGGACCCCAGGCTCTGCGGTGCTCGCTCGCGCTGTGTTCACAGGCGTTGTGGTGTTCACAAGCGCTGTGGCGTTTTCTGGCTGCGTAATGTGCACAGGCGATCTGGTATTTGCAGGCGCTGTGGTGTTCGCCGGCGCTGTGTTCACAGGCGCGTTGATGTTCTTAGGCGCTGTTGTGTTCACGGACGCTGTGTTCTTCAAAAGCAGTGTGGTGGTCACAGGCACGTCACGGTGATCGGATCGCCAGCTTGTGTGGCGCTGGTCACAGGCACGTCGTGATTGTCGGGTCGCAGGCGATTGTTTTTCGCAGGCGCACTGCGGTGCTTACGGACATGCTGCGGCACCACAGGCGCACCCCCGCCGTGGCGTGACCGGCGCGACGAACCCCCCCTTCCAGTCACGCGCGTGATCGGGCCGAGTAAACGAACGGGCTCGAAGAGGAGGAGGAGGAGGAGGTGGAGGAGGAGGATCAGGAGCAGGAGCAAGAGCAGGAGCAGGAGGAGGAGGAGGAGGAGAAGGGGGAGGGGAGGAGGAGGATAGAACCCTCTCGCTCGCCGCCGAGCCTACGTCGACCCCATCTGGGAGGCCTCTGCTTCGTCGTGTGCCGGCCCCGCCACCCCTCGCGGCGCCGAGAGCAGGCTGCCGCCTCGGGGCCTCGAGGGCCTTGCCGTCGGGTCCCGTTTTTGTTGGTCCTTGGGAGTGGGCGAGAAGGGGGGGGGGGGATGAAGGAGGGGGGCAGGAGGAGGAGGACAGGAGGAGGATCATCCCCCTCATCGGCGGCGGGCCTCGTTACCTCTACGCCCTTCGGGCACTCAGGCTTTACCATGACTATGTAAAGCTCCTGTTCCGCACGGGCCTGCCGCCGAATTCGGTATGAATTGTCGAGAGTACAGTTGGAAGGAGGAGCAGCAGGAGGACCCGAGGTCAGTTTTTTTTTCTGTTGCCCCTCGCGCCCTTCCTGCTTTCTTCTGCGCCCGCCAGGCGTATTCTGGGGGCCTCATGGCCTAAGTCGGCGTTCGCTTTCTCCATGCGAACGCTACAACCACGACGTTCAAGTTTATCCAACATTTGTTAAGGAGGACCAGCGTGAAACCAGCTTGCACGGACGATGCGGCAACACGCCCTCACGTCCCAAGTCCCATCCTCATAAGTCCTTACAGGCCTCCCATTGCACTACAAGAGGCGTCCCCTTGAAAGAGTCGTTCAGGCGAGAGTTCCGTCTTGAAAAGAAGCCGCCATCCACCCGTATAACTGGTAGTCGCTTCAGACGTTGAGTTTCCTGGCTGCTAATTTTGAGGATCTCCCAAGCGAGAGCCATACGATGAAAAGGGTCCGTCCTTTGCCCGGGTATTTGTTGCAAACAAATTGAGCCGAGTGTGCGCGACGGGCGCTACAGCGAACGTTCCATGTTGAAGGGGACCCATTTTCCATTGCTGTGGCTCTTTCACGCTTTTGAGACGAAGCTGCGCCGCACTAAGACGATAGTCCCTTTTTTAGTTTTAAGTTGAAAGGAGTCTCCTCCATTTCTATAACCGTGACAACAGGCTGGCATGTGGAGCGAATATGCGCGACGCTAAGACGAGAGGTCTGTTTTGAAAACGACCCCTATCCATCCTTACAAGTCTTATAATTTATACTTTTGTAGGCGTTGTGCGCGGCGCCATGTTGCAAATTGCCCTCATTGCCCGTGTAAGTTTCGTAAAGCTGATCACAAAGGATGCGGGGGTCCCAGGCGAAACTCTCAGCCCGTTCTACCGACACGTCTGGGGGGTGCGACAGAGAGGAGTTATCCATAAAGACCTGGGACGTTGGGAAGCGTCTGGGGGCCAGATCAGACAGCACCTCAAACCAACGACGACAGGGCAAATGACCTCGTGGCCCCGATGTGCGGCGGAACGATTTCACGTAGATCGGGCCACGTGAGAAAGATGCCCGTGCCCCCGACGGGGCGGTCAGGGATGAGGACGGAGGAGGAACTGGTGGAGGAAGAGGAGGGGAGGGAAGGAGGAGCCGGCACCATGATACATGAGGAAGATGGAGGGAGGCGGAAGAGAAGGCAGCGGAAGGAAAGGCGATCCCCTTCTTGATTTCCCCCGCGGTACCTCATCCTCGTCCATCCTCTTCCCTCCGCCTCATCCCTCCTATTCTTCCTCCTCCTGATCCCTCCTGCCTCCACGTCCTCCTCTGCTCTCCTCCTCGTTTCCTCATCCTCCACTTGTTATTGTTTCTTCGCTTCAGTCTGTCGCAAATTTGGTTCGAGTCACTCCAGCAGCCAATTTTCGTGCTCTCCACTCGATCCCGCGTTGCGTCTTTGAACTGAACCGCCCTGTACATGCACTACGGCCAGCTTGCACACGATTGCTTCTCTGTTTGCACGGTCGCGTATTGCGGTTGGGCTGCGCGCTGTATCTATCATAGCACCTCGACGTGACATCCCTCAACCTCACGTTCTCTGGCTTGAGGACCTCCTCGCGGCAGGATAGCATGTCTGCCAGGACTGCACCAGCATTCGAAGCGTTCCAGGAAGGGCATCGCCCTCGAGGGTCGAAGGAGTTGGCACATCCTCCCCGGCGGAAGGCCAGCGGAAGCAGCAGATGCGCCCCCAAGAGATGCACACCTTAATTTTTAGGTTCAGGATTTCTGGAATCCGCCTTTCAGGAGGGCGCTGACAGCCATGACCCACTGGGCTGCAGGACACCCGAGCGACGGAACGGCGCCGACGTTGGCGCGAAGATGTCCCGCGGAAGGTCGCACGTATAAGCGCCTTCGCGTCCGGTGTGACACGACTCGCTGGCGTTCCGCGTGAGCCGCGGCGTGCTATGTCATCTTGCGTCAGAATTTTCTTGCCGTCGTTTCGGCGTCGCCCCAGCATACTTATACTATATGTGCGTCGCCCCCCCAAGGGCGACGCGCGCACCGAGAAATCTTATAGTATATGCGTCGTGGCAGGCGCTTTCTGGCCACACCGCTCGAGAAACGATATACTACAAGATGGGTATACTATATGTTCGGGTCGGACGCGCGCCTCCAACTCGGACACGTAGTATTAGTATGTCTCTGTGCATCCCATCGTTCACTGGTCGCTTTCCGCCAGGGCCGTTTCCGTGGTGCACGGCATCGGCATTGCGCCCAATTCTGCCAAGCGCTGATGTTGGTCTGGAGGGTCTCGCAGGGTGCCCATTCAGCTCTGCCCCAGGGCTCCCGAGTCGTCTCCACGGGGTTCTGGTCATGCTTTGGTCATTCGCTTGGTTCTCTGCCCTGGGGTAACTGGTGGTGGCGGCTGGTGGAAGTGGCCGTACCTGCTGTTCCCGATGCGAGGTGTGTGTTGCCAGTGAGCGTGTGGCCGCGCCGATGCCCGAGGCACGAGCGTGCCACTCCTTGACGGCCGAGCGGGGCCGCGCTGGACGACCTTATAGACCAGATGCGTTTTTGGTTTGGCATCGTTCGGGCGTGTGCATTCTGTCCTCGGCGGGGACCATCGAGCAGCATCCTGGATCATCTTGGGACAAACATCCGACGACATCGAAACATGGACAGGGAATGGACGTCCGAGCGATGGCGAGATAGATCAGATGCGCTATGGGTGCGAGGTTGGGCGGGGCAATGTTCATGCGCTGCATCGCACCGTCCGTCCTGAACCACTTGTTCGTCGCTAAGGCGGGGCTCGTCCATGTGGTGCTCCTCGGTTTGATGGATTCGCTCACCGTGCGAAATACGTTCGCCGTGCCGCAGCGATCTTTCGTGATGTCGCTGGTTGACATGCCGCTCGCCTGACTGAAGAAGGATATCCCGACACATGGCCGTCCGGGTGCAGCCGACTTGGAGGAATAAGCCGTTCGTGAAGATATAGCATCTTGTTTTGCTGAAGCCTCTCGGCATGCTGATGCTGGCCCTCCTGCTGGAGACGCCGGTCCCGGTGAAGACTAGCCGGCACAGCGTAGTCGTCTTGAAAATACCGTTCGTCCTGAAGGTGTTGTTCCATCCGGTGAAGCCGTTGACCGTGAGGCCGCTGTTCTTCGAGCTGGCGCCGAATGTTATGATGAGAATGATTGACCCGCCGATCGCCCCGCTGAATGAGTGTGCCCTGACGACGCCGATCGCTCTGGTGCAGCCGTTCTGGACGAAGGCGGTGTCCGCCCGTCCTCTCCGAGGTGCCTTGCCTGCCAACGTGACGGTCGCACGGACATGCAGCGCGAGCGCCTCAGTTTTCATGCGCCT